CTACTACTACTACTACTACTACTACTACTACTACTACTACTACTACTACTACTTCTACTACTACTACTCTACAGCAACAGATACTGCGACCTTTTCAAATGCTCCTTTGACTTGATATTTTGTATTTACCACACTTAATCTGTTGCTACTATTACTTTACATTGTTCTTATATAAAATTAAAGATGATTATTATTTACTATGTTTTACTGAAAAAAAGTATGAAAATAATAATGCTAAAGCTATACATGTATAATATATATCGCTAGCCACGTGATTGAACCGCCAAAGTGACAAACCTTTGGAAAATCACTTTTTGATCCCTTTATGTAGTACACCCTCTGTAATACCTCATGTTAAAATCCCTAGTTTGAAAGATTACTGTAAGGTGTTTCAATCCTACATTAAATCAATCGCCTATATCACACCAGTCACTAATTTCCACTTGATTCAAACACCCAAGTGCCAGTTTTGCAGCCTTGTGGCGAATGGGCGGTTGAATCACGCAGATTCAGCGGCTTGTTGAGGTGTTCACCTGTCGCATTCACCTGTTGCGTAGGTGGCGCCACCCACAATGACTGTGGGCTTTGTCAAAACAGACTGGAAGGTAACATCAAAACAAAGTTCTGCCATTGCTAGCTTCGACTCAGATCGAACCATATCGATAGCCAGAAGATTTTGTCAAGGCAGTTTGTGTAATATATCACTAGGATTGGTAGTGTTGTTGAGAAAGGGCAAGATGGCATAACAGAATATTATGTTCATGCTGTCTTGATCACTTTGGTATATTATGGAAAAAAGTCTTGACGAATGATTTTTAAAAAAGTCTATGAGTGACAGCTAAGGGGTGCTTATTTCATACTCGGCACAACTATTGGAAAATATTTTTATCACGCCCCTTGCTCTGTCTGTCATGTACTATTCTTGAATCATTGATTATTTAATCAGTGCCGGGTAGATGATACTTAATTTGTTACTCGAAAAAAAAGCAACCCATAATATTCCCTGAAAATTCTCTCTTCAACGAACCTTCAACTTCAACTCTCCAGCTCTACACTTCAATTTGAAACAAATCTCATACATTCTACCTACATGCAAAACAATGCGTTTTTATAAAACTGCCCTCACACAGTGGTTATTCACGACTGTTACAGAGACAGTTTACATGACTTGGAGATGGGAACTCCTCGACTGTCAAAATACCAGAGAGAAGAAGAGGACAAGCAATTTGTGATAAGCTTCGATAAACTGGACAAAGTTACTTTCCTATTATTAAATACAGAATACAGCAAGCAAAATCTATCTTGACTAACACTTTCAAAGTGTCAGAGGCCTTTATAGTGAGTACCAAAGAAAACGGAAAGAGTCACACATTGTCCAAGACGAGTTTAGAGAGATATTCAAAAAGAGCAACCTGTTGTATGTCGGAAGGATCAATATGAAGTATGCAAGGTAGGGGAAAGAATCTAACAAGAAGCTTATCCAAAACCCAGTGGATGGGACCAGATTGTGTCTGTCGAGTGTGCATGGACTTGGAAGTGGATTTGTTAGTATGGCGTTGAAAGCATCTGCTGCACTATATCATAGCAGGGCCTAATTAGCTGTCTATACATATTTATTTTTTGGGGTAACCAAAGATGTAAAAAGTCAAGTTTGGCATGAAGAAGAAGGACCATTGATTGCAATTGAATACTCTTCTTGTGTCAGTAACCTCCTGGAGGAGCCTAGTGACAATGCCTTGTTCATTATATACAGTGAGGGCCTAGTGGTTAGGCTCTCGGACTCGCAACCGTAAGGTCGTGGGTTCGAATCCCGTCAGGGGCCCGACGTTGTGTCCTTGGGAAAGGCACTTTGCACAAATTTTCCTCACTTCACCCAGGTGGAAATGGGTACCCAGCTATAGACGGTGAAAGATCTTGTCAGTTTGATAGTGTTTGAGGGCGTGAAATCCGCAGCTTGCACTGTATGCTTCCGCGGAAGCTGAAAATGTTTCTGAGTGTTCTCAGAGGGTCTGCTGGGGTAATAATAGTTGTAAAGCGCATAGAGCAAGCTCTTGAGCATGGATATGCGCTATATAAATGCAATTATTATTAATTATTATTACTTATCAGACCACAACGCTATCTTGCAAAATGCAACCAGCGACATTTGTACCAGATAAAACAAAACTGTTGAACACAAATATCTTGAAAAAGAACAAACGCAAATGAAAGTGGACAGCACACCCAGTGTAATCGAAAAGACCCTAAAAAGTGGTATGGTCTATGTGCTCATGGATAATCTTTATGTTTTTAAGAAAGCAAAAAAATAACGCAAAAAAAATCCCCCTCTTTAGGGAGACAGTGAAAAGGGAATGTGACCCAGTAGAACTGAAGACCACAACTCTCAAGACAATTGATTCCTACCTCAGTGATTCAATTGATATTTATACAGATAGGTCAGCCTTCAAGGGAACTATCATTGCAGGCTTTGGGGTAAGAATAGAACGTAATGACAAAACATGTGAAGAACTATTTGATGCTTGTGGTACCTTTTGTACAAATCACGAGGCAGAGGCCATCGCCATTGCAGCAGCAATCCTCCACATGACCAACATTTTCATAATACATCCAAACAAAATCAAGGACACTGTTATCTTCACAGACTGAGAATCAGTACTCCAAGCTTTGGAAAACATAAATTTCGAAAGCCCAGCACGCCTATCCGTGGCTCAAACAATCAACACCTTTATACAGGCCTATGCCGTCGACCTTACTTTACAGTGGGTACCTGGCCACAGCAACCTCCCAACAAACTACAGAACAGACACCCTTGCCGAGAAGGGAGCATCACAAACACAACCTCGAAACCCGGTATCATAACAGACATTCAGGAACATCATCAAATGCAACATCAGAGAACAGTGGCTGAATGAATGGCCAATGGGCAAAACTGGAAGATCTGCATTCGCACACATGACTGCTCCCAACTCAAATGATGCTCTAAATTCCCTGAGTAGAAGAGAACAAGTTACTATCTTTCGCCTGCGAACACAACACATCCCACTGAATTCCTACCTATATAG